TACACCAATTCCAGAACATGTTCTTACACACATATCAGTTAAGAGTAAGATGACATTTGTTCAGAAACTCGAAGCAGAAATCATGTGATACGGATGCTGTGTATACAATTACGTCTCCACGGAGTACCCTGACAATGAAAAAACGTGTTACACACAGGATACGAAAAACAACAATTCATACATTAATGGTTCTTGAGATCACTCTATTTAGTGCACATACACACACAGAAACATGGACACTATCCAAGTTACATGCTCTAATGTGTCTTCAGATGACTCCACTGAATGAATGATCTGTCACACACATCACAGGATTTGATGTAAGAAAAGATGTTTCTTCAGACAACTCTTCCTATTGAATGATTTATTACACACATCACAGGAATATGGACGTTCACCACTATGTGCGCATTTATGTATCTTCAAATTATGATTCTGTCGGAACGATTTACTGCACACATCACAGGAATATGGACGTTCACCACTATGTGCGCATTTATGTATCTTCAAATTATGATTCTGTCGGAACGATTTACTGCACACATCACAGGAATATGGACGTTCACCACTATGTGCGCATTTATGTATCTTCAAATTATGATTCTGTCGGAACGATTTACTGCACACATCACAGGAATATGGACGTTCGCCACTATGTGTGCGTTCATATCTCTTTAGACCACTTGGCCAACAGAATATTTTACTGCATACATTACAGCAATTCGGATGCCCCCACCATGCTTAAGTTCAGGTTCATTCTGAGGAATCTGCTGAAGAAAAGAGAAAAGAATTATGATAAACTTAACATAATGAAGAAGAATGAGTTTGAAAGCAACATGATAGGTTTCTCTACCAAATCCCATTACCTGAGCCAAATTTAGTGGAAGGTGTGCAAGAATTTGAAGTCCACATGGAAGATTACAACAGTCAATTCACTGAGGTATGTGAAGTAATCTGGAGCACCTGACCTCAAACTTCAGCCTCCAATTTAACATCATACTCAAACAATAAATGCCAAGTCACTCAGTTGTCTTGGTTCTTACTCTGTACCAGGTTGGATCTGAATTAGATAGTAAAAACATTTTCTTACACAGTGGGATAGCTACATGTAAATTTGTTGGTTCAATCAGCTGATGGCTACTTATAGCAAGAAATTAAATATTTTGGAGCCCTTGAATTCAACCCATGGTCTTCAATCGCATGCTATAACTTTGAATGGTAGGTCACTGTATTAAAAGGTACGCACCCAAACTGGGCAAATATATTACTCTGGATGCAGTGGGATAGGAAGATGTCAATTTGCTAGTTCATTTAGTTCCTTGATACTTGTAAGAGAAAGTTGGGTTTGTTGTCAGGCCTAAACTTTGACACATATCAAATGGACTCCTGAATGACGGCATGGTACTTATGAGGTTCAAAATGTTTCTTTCTAATGCACAGAATAGAAGAAAAGTCACTTATGCCAACTGTCCCTAGATTCTCATCCTATATCATAACATACATACTCAAGTTCTTTGTATCCAGGCAGACTTGTTATTAGAAAACATATAGCAAAATGATTGGGCTTTCTGCAACAGGCAAGCAAAAGTTAACCAATCAGAGTCAAAGTATCAAGAAGTGGGGATATATGCAGTCATCATTTGCTAATGTGAATATAATTTCAAAAAATTAATCTAAATAAATAACCCAGATTTTTATAAATGTTTTGACTGACAACATGTTTTTTATTTGTCACTAAGAATTCCAGCTTATCTTCATGCCTTAATAAGTAACAGAAAACAAATAAAATTTACTGTTCAGACAAAGTGATGTACAGTCTACAGTAATAATGACTGTTCCAATGAACCACTTTCCAAACTTTATAGTTATAGTTATAGTTTTATAAAAACATATTTCTACCAATAGAATTATCCAGGTTTAGATTCCATATTTTGGAGAAATATAAATAGTACTTTCCAAATAGGTGTTAATATTATTTAACATTTCCACATTCAGTGAATTTTAACACACTGCAACTTTATCTTCCTAAGACAGTGCCACTCTGTAGATAAACATGTCTCTTTCTTCCACACCTCTCATCTGTTTTCCCACATTCTTCTTTCATTCTGTGTGACAACTCTTGTAACATGCTGCACCCATCTTTATTTCTCCTCTTTGGGTGCTTGTCCTTCAATTTCATGTTCAAGACATTTAGTAAAACTATCAAACAGTACACAATATTCCATGTAATTATTATCACCACTGTCAATGTCAGTAATTACAGTACCACAAATAAATCTAAAATCCCAGAAAGTATGTAAACTGTGAGTGAAGATTTTACTCCACTTCACTTTCGGGAAGTCTCTTCTTATACCACAGAGCCCCTCTCTCCTACTGACTGTCACACTGCAGTTACACAACTTTCAAACTGAAGGACAAGATGAATGACACAAAAACAACAAAGTTGTTCAGAGTGTGGATTTAAATTTTAATCTTTCAGTGATATCACTTATGATGAGAAGGCAAATGGGAATACATAATATATTCATCCTATATATGATCTACTCTAAGTGCAATCTGGTAATTCAGCATATCATATCCTTACTTCAGAAGGATGGGGTAGAGCCTGAGTGTACTGCGAAAACAAACACAGTGCTCTGATTGCATCTGTAGAATAATTAGCAGGATCTACAGATGTCAGAAGATTGGATGTGATACCATTCATAACCTAGATACAATTTCAAAATTTATTCGTCAAAAGGGACTTTTTTCATGTGGATGGACAGACACACACGAGGACAATTGACACTTTCATGGACTCACATCCTGTTCATCCTTTATATCTGGAAATGGTATTGGCACATGATGTTCCTCAATTTTATTTACCTAATCCTATTATATGGTTATATTAGTGGAAGGTGCACTGTAAACAGTGCAAGAATCATAGCCCCTACAGTAGTATATGGCAGCATTATGAATGAAGAAATTCTGGAGCTCTTTAAGTCAAATGTGCATCTCCAATTTGATATCCTCTGCTTCCAGACTGTATAGTCAACTACTGTATTAAGAGACTGTCAGATGACTACCTCTTCCATATTTAATTTTTTTGAAATAACATATTTCTATTAATATTACAATCAGCTAGGTTTGGAATTCACTAGCACTGCATTCTTCAATCTTTTAGATTTTAAGTAAATGTCACTTTCTATGTATGAATACTATGTTGTTTTTAACATTTCACACATTTAACAGATACAATAGTAAGTAATACTGAGCACACTGCAGTCTTCATCATAAAACATTGCCAGTCTATGTGGATCAAAATTTCTCTTTTCCAGGCAACCATCAACTCACATTTTATACTTGAAGGGATAGACAAATCATTTGATAGAAATATTTTCCAGATTTCTCAGTATTTAATATCATGGGTGTTAATACTGACTGGAACTGACACTCTTCAACTATGAAGAGAATATAATCCACAGCAGACATTTTGGACAGGACTCTTCAAAATTTATTCATCAGAAGTGACTTTTTTCAAGTGGATGGACAGACACCCATGAGGACAATTGACACTTTCATGGACTCACCCCCTGTTCATCGTTTATATCTGGAAATGGTATTAGCACATGATGTTCCTCAATTTTTATATCTGAGATATCCTCAGCTTTTACACTGATGACCTCATTTCCATCCTGACAAGTGTCACTGTCTGAATGAGGTTCATCTTCCACCAAATCCATAGGGTTCTGTAAAACCACCATTTACATACATGATTATTATATTGCAGAAATGTTGTTTTCATAAAACAGGAGCACATGCATGCACATACGGATACATTTGTACATCGGATACATTTGTACAT